ATATTAAAAGAATGTTATTTTTTAATCTCTAAGAAACATTCGTATGTCGGAAAGTAATGGTGAATTTCTCTTATGTATGCTGGAATGATATTGTGGAATGCACGGTAATCTAAGTTTTCAAGCCGACGATGTACTGAAATCTAATTTCATTTCATCAAAAATAATTTACACAACAGAAATCATTTTTTTTTTTGACATATATTGTAGCAAATACATTTCTAACTAACACATGCTTTGAATTTTGCGACGGTCTCGTTTGATTCTTGAGATATGCGAATTTGTAAACTGTACTTATTTCGAAATTCGTAGCGAAATTAAACAGTAATCCTCAAGTGTACTGACAATAAATATTGAATGGAATATTGAGCAAATGTAAATACAAAAAAATGTTTACATTTTTGTAGTTACTTTGTAACTGTTTACTATCAGTATATTCTTAGAATACTGTTCAGTTTCGTTGTACAATCAAAGAGACAACAACAATGCAACTTCATGAATTTCTTTCTATTATTGAAGATAAAGAAAAACTTTAATTGAGCATCGCATTGTACGTAACAAGATTAAATGTCCACGTTGCGGTTCTATAGCAGAATTATCGCGAGAACGATTGTTGGAATGTCATGGTGTTCAATATGAACATAGAAATAAGAAACGTATAGATGAGTGTGGCATAACTTTCATGTAAGTGCACAGCGCGCCCTCATCTGCAAAACCTAACCCTAACTTACTTCTGATTTTAAATGGAAATTGGATTTAGGTTAGATTAAAAATTTCTTCAGGGAGGGGGTGCAGGGGCACGGGCCAACGCGTTTACTTTATAGCAAAAATCTTGAAAATGTATGTCAAGGTTAAAGTCATAGAGATTAAATTTCTTTATCTAAGAATATTATTTTTATAATATTTAAAAAGTGTTCCCCTTGCAATACATATTAAAAGAAAAATGATCCGTGTTGTGCAAATTTTTATCAACTTTTACCAAAAAATTAAAAAGTACTTTAGATTTGCAGGACAAGACCCGCGCTTGAAATATTATCTCCACCGCCAGCAGTTTGCGCCGCCACGGTGCAGATTAATACTGGCGCCACGCACACTTGAACAGGAATATCTTCGTTTACTACTTTCAATACTTCGTCCCAGCAGGAGACTGGTTTGTCAATGTCCAGTGCTATCCGAGTACCTTGAACAATAGATGTTGAAAAACTATCATCTAAAATCAACGCAGCTTTCCGTATATCAACCTAAAACATTTCATCAATTTATATAAATTGATACATATTTTACGGTACTTATTTTATGGCTATTTACTTACATGACTCGTTGCACACACATGCCTGTGTGCTGTCAGTGATGCTTTAGCAGCTGCAGCCATCGTGTTTTTCCATATAGAACCTTTCATGGTAAATATAGCTTGATACGCTAATGTATGTACATGAATTCTCGTAAGTTCCCGAGAATTTTCGATAGTTTTACTCCTTATACGTATGAGTTTAAACAACGTCCGCATTTGGTCTAAAACCGTTGCTATGCGCGGTGTGGAATTCGCTACTAATGAAATATTTCCGTAATACATCGCGTTATGCAAATTGGCTATTTCTTGTTCGTTCATTCCTAAACTGTCGGCAAACGGTATAACCGAATCGCATAACTCGAAGAGTAATTTATCTTCCGCGAACGAAGCCATTTCAAAGTGAATTTTAGTAGATGTAGATCTATCCATCATTTGTTTTTTTATTTTGAGTAAAAGATTCTGTCTTTCACCTATATTTTAATAAATACGTTTTATTGAAACAATCATAAAAATCATATACTAAAAAATGCATCTTTAATTACCACTTGGAAATGGATAATTATCCATCATTTGTAGTCCACTAACAACAAGTAAATTAGGCTCATATGTTGACAGAAGCTGATCCAATGCTTCAAAAGAATTGATCCTAGGATTATTGGCATCATTATGAACTATATACCTAGAGAACAATTCAGCACAGTTGGTTAGAAAGATCCATTGTTATTCTTCAAGGTTACTTAAGTATTATACCTATTTGCTCTAGCACTGGAATATGGACCCCAAACATCTCCATGCTTGTATTCTATCACTAAATGAATATCATCCCTTTTTGCTTCACCACCAACAATATTAATAACTTGTGGCATCATTTGATGCAGAGATCTTGTCAACTTAGCAGCAAGTGTTACATCACATCCCTCTTTTGCAAATCTTAATGCCATAATTGCAGCATTACCACCAATTGTGGAGTATGATGATGAAAATGAACGAGCTTTGGCAACAAGCTGATCAAATAATGTTCTATTAGCCATGTATCTCCTAAAATAGATACAACATTCTATGTGAGCTTAATTGCATTGTAATAAAATATCACACAAACAATAAACTTCCCACTGAGAAGCATCAAATTTAACCCTGTTATGATCTTTGAGTCTTTTTCAACCCATCATGTTCTTATTTCTTTAAAAACTTTTATCGTTATCAAACAAATGTAATGAAATTGTTATTAATATGTTTGTTTTTGTTCTCTTGATATTATGCCAAAAGTTTATTGTCTGTGTTAATATGGCATATTGGGAACAAACATTGTTACACATTAGGTCTTTGGATCTTTTTTGTCTCAATGTAAACAAGGCATTATCAAAAAAACAAAAATCAATCACAGTCAAGGTTAACAAAACAGTGGATGATGGTAAAGATAAAAGAAAAGATAATTAGTATAAAATGACTAGAATACTTCTATTAGTGCCAGAAAAGTGAATGATTGTAGAGTGAAATCAGTACTCTGGTACAAAGCATAAATTTTTTTAAAGCATTGTTCATGAATGAAAGCAGCAGAAGAGATGCTGGAAAATATTACAAATTTGACAGAACTTGTTGCATCGATATCATTAGCTACGTATGATTTAAGCCCTACAAAAAGGGATAGATGCCATTTTTGTAATAAAACTGATAATAAAAGCACATTAAGGTGTCAAAAATGTTCAAAATGTATATGTAAAAAGCATGGTTACCAAATGTGTAAAACTTATAATAAATAAATAATTTGAACACAATATATTGTTTTTTTACAGTAAAAGATATTGTAAAAGATACAATATATTTCTATATTTCGTATATGAATTTTGCATATTCGGATCATTTTCGACCCAAAGAACTTAAGTGCATAGTTGAATTGAGGACCATAGCAGGATTAAGTACAGATCGAGGATTAACTGGAAGAAATCTTACTCTGCAGCAGCTCCATGACGAAAATAGTAAGCGAAACTTTTTAATAGTTCTAGTTCTGTATTAATCTCATCGAAGTGCTGAGGTCGTCCGACATTTTCGGAGTAGTTTAATAACTCTTTTGCATTGACGTATACGTCAGTACATACACCATAACCTATCGCAACTTTTGGACGTGAAGTGATCACGTGTTTGTTTTCAAGTTTCTCCAACCCATAAACCAATGCTTGCAAACGTTTCTGTAGAACGTTTTCCGAATTTCTATAATAAATCGCGACTAAAACTATCAGTACTGTAAGTGCTGTACCGAATTTTAAACTCCTGTTGTAACCCATGTTGAACTTGAATGAGAACAACGAACTAAGCGCTGCGGCCACACGGCTCTTTAAAGATCTAATCAATGCAATGTTACCATTTTTTTATCTGCTAAATACAACTACCTTTAGTCTTGACGTCATATCATTTTAAGATCATTATTTTCCTCCTAATTGGCAAAAACATTAAAACGTATGAGGTCATTGCATGCGTAATTTTTTCAAGTAAAACATTAAAAAATCTTCCGGCAAAGTAAACTTGAAGCTTCTGACGCCACCGCCTGACAAAATAATTGGAAAATAAGCGATCAAGCCATTCTTACAATTTTTGGTTTTACACTACCGCCGCTTGAGGGGAAATTGCAGTGTAAGTATACATAATCCGGGCCACGATATATGTAATGAGATCATAAATTAAACTTTTAAGAATCGGCACCGATTAATGTTGCGGCACCCAGGGCCGTACAGAAAGCCTGGGAAACATCTTTCCCGAGTAGGGAAATGAACATCATTGTATACATATTTAGATATGTATTTATATTGACACTGAATGAAAGATTTCTTCGTATGACCCTGACTATAGTTCCAAGTTGTGAAAAATACGAGGCGGCGGATGGTGTTGGTTGCAAAATTAATCAAGCCGTTAGTTTATCACAATTTTATACATATTATGGACTATAATGTGGCCTCGAAACTTGTTTGTGGACTGTCTAAGGAAAACTGACTTTCCCCGCTAAAAGTCCTTTTATTGTCGCAACCGAAGTCTCCTCAAGGGCTTCCACGGGTTGGTTTTCGACGGGCATGGCGTTATGCTATTCGGGCCCGTACTCGCCGTGCTCGTCGTGCAATAAAAGTCCGTTCGGGCCATGCGGTTACTTTCGTCGAACGACGAATTTTCCAACAAAGTCTTTAACAGATCATACTTCGATGTATACATATTCGTTTATCTCGGCAACTGAAACACATTTACTTTAATGGCTAATCGATTTTAGGACCTCGCTATACCGTGGCCTGGACTATACTAAATGATTTAGACAATGATTCTTAATCAGCTGGTGATCAAACACGTTGATAAAAGAACAGGAAACTAAAGATTACACTGCTGTTGCGTTAGCTGGGCGGAATTTCGCCTTGCTAGCTGGCCGTCGCTATCCCCACCAGTTTTTAGAATTGGCTTCGTAGAGTAAGCCTCCAGCATTAAATAAATACGTATCTAAACTAAACAAGGACCTCGATATTTCGGGTCGGGTATCTAATATCTCACTCAATAGGGAAGAAATCCGCGATTTTCTAGAACACTACCTCCCCCTGATTGCTGTCCAGATTTTATCCCGAGCTGCGGCCAGCTGACGCGATAGCACTGTATTTAGTCGCCTTGTCCTCTTACCTATGTACATACATACATTAACGCGTAAGACAAACATTTAATAGCACGGACGTTAATTTCTAATACATACAGTAAGTTGTTGTTGTAAACGGAATCTCAGGAAATGTATTAATATTTTTTTAAATTTACAAAAGTAAAAAATAAATATCTTTTTGTTGTTTTTGAATAATAAAAATAGTTTTCTGTTTTAAAAATTTTCTGATTGCAATGAAAAATAGTAAGCCATCACAGACCGACAGCCACCGTTTCCGTGCCTCAAAAATCGGCAGGGAAAGGAGTGTCTTAGCAACAATTACTCCAAATAATTGCTATCTGGCCTTGAAAACATTGTCACAGGGTCTAGATATACTTTAAATCGAATGGTATTTCAACGGAAGGAACATTATGCTATATCACAGACGAGGTACAGGCTAGACCTTACACCTAATGTATTTTTATGTCCAACGTTCTAAAATACCAATCGTGTAAAAAATCAGAATTTTTGTTATGCCCTGTACGATATAAAACAGTGAGTTTAGGAATTACATGCAATCCAACCATCGCGGATGTGATGAATCATCTACTAATCTTGGTCAAAATGCTAGGTGCATCTTGCACGTCGTGTGTGCTTGCATCTTATGGGACTTTTTGTCCAGGGCTTTGGGGCCGAGAAGATCCTTACCATTTTCATGTCGTTACCAACGTTACCGATTTAGCATAGAATACAACTACAACATTAGTAGTGGTTGGAATGGGAATTAAACGTAACTATGAAATTACAAATGAGAAAATAACGTAATTGTTTATTAGTAGATAATTCATCACATGCGCGTTTTCTACTGCTGTCAAAAGATCGTGAACTGTCAATTTTACCATTTTTGATGGTTGGATTGTACGTAATTCCTAAACTCACCGCTTTATATCGTAGAGGGCATAACAAAAACTCCGATTTTTTTACTCGATCGGTATTTTAGAACGTTGAACACGAAAATACATTAGGTGCAAGGTCTATCCTGTACGTCATCTGTGTCTATGGTCTGACTGCATCGATGGTAACTGTACCTGAAACAAACGCTAGAAAAGCTGATGGTTTTTTCTCGCGCATTCCTACAATTTCCGGTGGAGCTTCTCTAACGGAAATGTACTTGGTTTCTACATATTTGGCGATAGAAAGTAGCCATCGCAACACAGAAATTTTCTGTTCTTGTCTAAACCTATTGTTTTCCTTGGTTAACACGCACTACTATTGCTACCCTTGCCTTCCTCTATTTATTTGATTGTCTGCCCCTATTCCTTTCCTACCCCCTATTTCTTACTTATTTCTCTATTGCAACTGTTATCTCTTCTTACTCCTCGAATAGAATTATATGTGTATTTATATTAGATGCATGCTTGAAAATACACAAATTATTCGGATAAACGTGCAGTATTAATAAGAAATCTTTACAAAGCGTGGCATCTGTTCAGATATGTTGCATAAAAATTGTTAATAATTAATCATTTAAATGAATAATCAAATAAACAAATGGAAGTATTTCGTTTCATGTTTATTTAAAAAAAAAAACACAATGATCAATCATTTAACATGATTTAAATTGATCTCATTTAACACAGAACTTTTTGGAGTACATGCAGATATAAATCTTAGAAACTTGATCACAATTAGAAACTTATCTTCTGTATTTATACAATAGGATTGTATGATCTTGACTTTTGATTTTTTCGATCGCAATAAGATATAGAAAGTACAAAAAAGAAGGAACTTATGATACTGATTAGTAAAGAATACAGAGAAAATATGTTAAAATATGTAGCTATATTCTTTTGACATCTTGACCACTGGCTTTAATCCTAATTTACTTAGAATTAAAGTCATGTTCTATTTTAAGCTTTTTCAAAAGAATAAAGTTTTCAAGCATTACAAGATACTTCATGAGATATAAAAATATTTAAAGTCTATAAGTATACACCGATCATATACAAGTACATGATTACAAATCAAGTAAAATTTGTTTGAGGTCAGTGAAAAGTATGATCATTAGAGATTAAAAATGGAAGCTTCTAAAGTTGACTTATCTTTACTGCCAATATACATAACTTTAATTCTCAATAGTTTCACATTCAAACAATCTCAAAGTCCTCTTTCATACAAGACACTTGTAGAAAACAATTATCTTATGTTGTTCATTCTTTATTCTTCGTATGAAGACGCATATGTTTTTTTAAATTATCAAGTCTGTTGCATCGTCGATCACAGAAGTCGCATTGATAAGGCGTTAAATTGTTGTGCACTACCGCGTGACCATTTAAATGACTAATTTGTTTGAATCGTTTGCCGCAAATAATACACAGGTACGGTCTTTCATTCATATGAGCCGATGTAATATGCGTTTGCAAATTTGTTTTCCTCACAAATGTGGCTTTGCACATGTCACATTCGAATGGCCTCACATTGGCATGAATGGCTAAGTGGGATTTCAACACGTTTTTATGTTTAAAGTTCTTTTCGCACAAGTGACACTGGAATGGTCGTTCATCGTTGTGCACTTTTTTGTGAACAGACAAATGAGCAAGCTGCTTGAACATTTTTGCACAGATCTCACATTGATACGTGCGTCCATCCTCATGAGCAGCGCTTATGTGCCGACGCAAAGTGTCTGCCAAAGTATATCGCTTTCCACAAATTTTACACTGAAACGGACGCTCGTTCGTGTGGGTCATAAGATGTCCGTTTAGGTTTCTCTTTTCAAGAAATCGTGCACCACATACATCACATTGATACGGTTTTTCCCCATTGTGTACGTACATGTGCTTCTTCAGAGAGTTCGAAAGGCTGAATCTCTTCTTGCAAACGGAGCATTCGAAGTTTCGTTCACCCGTATGCACCAACATATGAGACTTCACGTGTCCCGCTTGTTTGAATCTTTTCCCGCAAATTATACAGGCAAATTGACGCTCGTGAGAATGAGTGAGTATGTGTCTCTCCAAAACGCTCTTAGTGGTAAATACCTTTTTGCAATTGTCACATTCGAATAAACGAAAAGCCTCTTTGTTTTTCGAAATATAATCGTGCTTGTGTGACTGAGCGTGGATCTTCAGTGAGCCCAATGATTCGAACTTTACTCCACAAACCGCACAATGGAAAGAACGATAATCCTTGTGCGTTAACGAATGCTGACTGAGATGACCCAATTGTTTAAAGCTCTTGTTACAAATTTCACAAATATAGGGCCTCTCGTTCGTGTGAGATCGCACGTGCCTTTTTAATACGCTAGGAAAGTTGAATTTTTGATTACAATACGAACACTTCAAAGTTGGATCTCCGTTTATTTTCATAGATCGGTTATCTGTGGAAATTTTTTTCCTCTCTTTAACGAGACTTAAACTTTTTGTCGTTTTTGGACAATCATCTGCTTCGTTAGATTGTGTTTCACTAAGATTTAAATCCGAAAAACTTCTTAATTTAGATGGTTTTGTGTCTAACGTTGATTCATCTTGTGAATCTTTACTTCTCCTCTTTCTACTTAAACTGGATAATTTACTTTGTCTATGAGACTGCCGCATATGTTTCTCATACCAACTTAAAATGTGAAATGTTTTGTTACACAGAACACATTCAAACTTCTTTCCTTTTAAATGTGTTCTCATGTGATTTTTCAGATAACCAGGTTTCATGTATTGCTTTTGGCAAACTTTACATTTTAAATTGATCTGACTCTCCTCAGCTAATACTGCTTTATCATCTATAATATCAGAATCATCCTCAAATACTGAATCTTCTGTGTGCATGATTAGTGGTTCACTCTTGACGTCCACAAAATTAAAATCAGGAGTGTCTCTTTGGAGATCATCTTTAGTCTCACTGAAAGAGTCACTCTCACAATCTTTTACCTGGCAAATGGAAATTAATAATTAGTAACTTGTACATAAGTAGTTACATTGTTAATGTTATACTTACACTATCCACATCTCTGTTGTCTGTAAAAGTTAAATTTTCTGTATGCTGTTCATCACTTTCCTTTTTAACATTATCTGTTCCATTAGACATGAGACTAATCCATTCCTCTTCTGTCCATATGTTTTCTGCTGAATCTATTGTATTAATTCGTTTCTCGAAATCTTCATGTACATTTCGTCCAAATAAAATATCATAAGGAATCTTTCCATTCTCAGAACGAAATGTTGAATTTTGAAAAATTTGTATGTATTTCACAGCTTCATACCATGTCTTTGTTGGGTTTTTTTCCACCCAACGTTCAAGTAAATTCTTAAAATCTCTGTTCTGTTCTTTGTTCTGAGAGATTTCTCCGTGAAGTATTATAAAATCTTTGCACAAGAGACGCAACTCTTGCACAACTTCTTTTGCAAACTTGCGGCCATTATTGCTTTGTAACACCTGCGGTGCTCCAATAATAGCCAATATGTCTAACAATTTTAGAGCTACTTCATTTGCTGTATTTCCATGTAACCCTTTCAATACAACAAATCTAGATGTTTGATCCTCATAAACAAGAAAGTATTTATAGTTGCTAGTTAATTGCATTGGCATATCTATTATATCAATTTGTCCTCTATAATACAATCTTTTGTTTGTAATATTATAATACGAATTCATGTTTCCAATTTATTAATAATTTATAATTTCTTGCAATGACTTCAGAAGACTATAATTTTTTTTATAGTTACTTGAATAGTATTTCATGTTTTAGATATCTAATACTGATTTTTCCCAATAGCAGATTAAATGTTTTCCTTGACACATCTGTTCCTAACGTATCCATTGCTTATTTCTTTAATCCATTGATATCTGTCAAAGAAATGTAATGTGACATTGTTAAAAAAGGAAAATATATAAAATTACAAAAGAAAACATGTTATACTGGAAAGAAAGAAAAAAGTACTTATTGAACATAAAACTTGATTGTTCAAATAGTTCTTTGGCATCAGGTTTACAGAGAAAATGCTTATGACAATTTTTGATTTCCAATACACAAATAAAGTCATTGTTCAAAGAACATTTACATTTTTTTAAACATAAAACAATGCATAATTCTAACCTACGTGATTCACCATGAAATTAAGTTTATTTCAAAGTTAAATCTGCGCACTTATTTTTCAGGATAGGTATTGGAAAATATTAAAATTTTGTCATTTTATGTCTTTCAATTAAACACATGTTTTTTTCGTTGTTTAATTCAACAATTGATGCCCACTTTCCAACTGTAAACTCTTGTTTGTCATTTTCATAGCGAGTTCTCATCGTTCTGTTATATCACTTGACAGCTTTAGTGGAAACAATATATATTTGTCCACGTGTCCGAAGAGGTAAAGGTTGATTTTAATAGAATACATTTTGTGTACACAAGATATGACTAAGTAATCAAAGAACTTACGTTATTAATTGAATTGAAGATTTTAATTGTCTCATGCTAAAGTCGATACACTAATACTACGATGGAAGAAAAATTTTTTAATTGAATAATAATTACATGAATGCGCAGTAAGTTACATGAATTACATAAAAAAGTATCAGCTTCATTATTACGGATAAATAAATCCATTGACGATATATGTTTTCTTATCGTATAAAAGAAACTATGTTATTTGTAAACGTTAAGTAAAAAAATAGTAATAATATATAACATAGATTTATCCATCTTTGCATTATTTTTTCGAAGATTTCTTTTTGAAGTCGTGTCACTTGTGTGACTATACACAGTCCAACTAATAGGTTCAAGATGGCAAGTGAGGGAAACGGAATCGTTGCCCAAGCAAGTGAAAATCTAACAGAAAGCAATGAAGTTATTACGGGAAAAGTACCATCAACACCTGAGGGAATGGCTATTGCTTACGGAAGCCTAATAATTATGGCTATTTTACCTATCTTCTTTGGTAGTTATCGAGCTGTTAGACACCATAAGGAACAGCAGGTTAGTCACGCATTTTGACATATGTTTTACACGCGTTCTTTAAAGAAATTCTTTTAATTTCGTAATAATTGTCATTTGAACTTTTGATCGATTTATAAGGTTCAATTTATTATCTTTATTTTACACAATATTTTCATTTTTGAATATTTAACAAATTCAAATGTTGAAGATACTATGATTATATATAAAGTCTTTAAGTATTATAACATTGAAGACTTAAAAGGTTTCTTAAAAATGTTGTACATCTTACAGCAACAATGTAAAAAAAGTGGGAAACAACCAGACACAATGTCTTGTAAAGAAGCAGCAATATTTCCCTTTATTTCAAGCTTTGCATTATTTGGCTTATATATATTATATAAGGTAAGAAGAATGTAGTCTTGAATATTTTTTGTATCAGGAATTTATTTGATCCAGTTTAATATTCTAATTTAATTTAAATGCTTTTCAGATATTTGCCGAGGATTATATAAACCAAATTTTAGCTGGATACTTTTTCTTCCTAGGCATTTTAGCTTTGTGTCATCTTACCAGGTACGCATAGTTTCACATTTATTGTTAATAAATCTTCATCAAATATCCTGGAGATTGTATATTGTAGTTATGTTCTATGATTACAGTCCAATAATTTCATCATTGGTACCTGCTGCAATTCCAAAAACTCAGTACCACATATTATTTACTAGGGGAGAAGGTGATAATATAAAACATATTATTAATTACAAATTTAATCTTCATGATATTGTCTGTTTAATATGCTGTTCACTTGTTGGAGCTTGGTACCTTTTGGAAAAGGTAGTGATATTAAATAAAATTCTTTTGAATAAAAATGTACTTCTATTATACAATATAATTTTTAATTTACAGCATTGGATTGCTAATAATTTATTTGGTATCGCGTTCGCGATTAATGGAGTTGAACTATTACATGTGAATAATGTTATAACAGGATGTATCTTACTTTGTGGACTTCTCTTTTATGATGCATTCTGGGTATTTGGTACAGATGTGATGATAACAGTTGCCAAATCATTCGAAGTACCAATTAAGTTGGTATTTCCCCAAGACGTATTGGAAAAAGGTCTTACTGCAAGCAACTTTGCTATGCTGGGTTTAGGTGACATTGTATTGCCTGGAATTTTCATTGCTCTATTGTTGCGCTTCGACAATAGTTTGAGCAGGAAAACGAATGTGTATTTCTATTCGACGTTCTTCGCATATTTCATGGGACTTTTAACAACGATGTTTATCATGCATTTGTTCAATCACGCGCAACCAGCTTTGCTGTATTTAGTACCTGCTTGTTTGGGAACTCCTCTACTTTTGGCGTTAGCTAAAGGAGATTGGAAGGCGTTATTTTCGTATGTATCATTAAACATTTGCTTTTCCATTTGAAATCATTTCCAAATAATTTAAAATAATTTATTATTTTGCAGTTACGAAGATCATCCAGTTAACGCGAACCAAACAGAACAAACTGCACAAACGCAAACAGAAACAAAAAAGGACACATAATATTTGTCCTTAAGGTGATCGATATAATAAAATTTCCGGCATTGCTATTATGCTGTTATCTTTTCAAATTTATCGTATATAGGGAAAAAATGATAGTATGTCTTATGCTCAAGCTGTACAATCATGAAATCTAAAGTGTCGGAGACATATACAGGGTGAGTCTAGCAATTGGACCAGGTTATAGCTCTGTTCTTATTGACGATAGAAAAAAATTGTAGAGGAAAATTTTGCAGTGTTTAACAAATTCTACCATCGAGTAGTGAGATTTTTTACAAAAGTGCATTGGTGCAGTTGCAAAGTAGAATTGCATTTGTTTTTTAAATGAAACCGTACCATTTTTGTACAGAAATTAATTCCTCATGCCATTCTGAATAAAAAAGTATTAAAGTAAAATCATGAAAAACTCAATACTTTTCGAAATATTTAACTTTTTTTTTAACATCTACAACAAATGCTCAAACGTTCCACCATTGTATTCTAAACATTTTCTCACGCGTTCTTTTACATTTTTCATTACATTGTTCACTTGTTCAGCACTCACATTTAAACAGTTCCTTTTAATTCGTTCTTTTATGTCAAAAAGGTTCTGAATACGCTCTAGTGAGACCCTTGTGCGAATAATTTTAAGGACGGATGAATGTACCTTTACGAATAATGGTGTTTTTAATTGACGTAATGAGTATGTCTGAGCTACAGAAAATCGACATCTTACAAGAAGTATGAACAATCAATTAAGATGCAGCATCAATTTCGAAAAGTATTGAATTTTTCATGATTTTACCTCGATACCTTTTTATTCAAAATGGCATGAGGAATCAATTCATGCAAAAAAAAAAAAAGAAGTAAATAAAGGGTTACATTTAAAAAACATGTTCAATTGCACTTTGAAACTGCATTGATGCACTTCTGTAAAAAACTGCACTTCATGATGATAGAGCTGTTAAGCAATGTAAAATTTTCATCTAGAATTCTTTTCTATCTTCAATAGGAACAGAGTTATAATCCCGCCTAGTTACTAGATTCACTCTGTATTAATGGTTTTGTATAGACACTGTGAGATATCTGATGTTTGGTTCGCTTTACATTCGAATTAATACAGTTTACATTCGATTAAATTAACGTTAGTAATTTATAGAAATGTTATTCGAAAGTTCATGTAGTACTTTTTTAGATGAAGTATTTTTTTACAAGACAACTCCTAACGTGGAATGTTCATTAACACCCATATCATACACGTGTATTAGTCTTCATTCGATCGCAAATAGTATAATTATTATTTTGTTTTTTTCTAATTAATAAAAATGGAACATGTTAAAGAAGCGTAATGTTAGATTTACTTTAAATTCGAGTTACGCAACGTAGCAAGTTATGTTTATTGAAAACACATCTAAATAGTGGTAAGATACAACCAGAGTGAAGGGTTTTAATTTAAATTTTTCCATTTTTACATAAAATGTAACCTTTGTCTTATTCTGGATGGTTAAATTGAACATATACTTCAGTAAATTTATAGTCCCTAATGCAGAATCATATGTGTTATCTATATTATTAGGACCGTCTAATATTTAACATTGATTCATTATAAATTAGTACAATTTTGCATGTGCACATCTCGATAAATTATAATCATAAGTCGTTTTTAAAGAGTTGAGTATTTACTTACGAAAATTGAGATAATTCTTTGATTTATCATTTTTCTCCAAGAATTTATAGTTATATTAAGTACATACAGTTCTTCCAAATTGTAATAATATTTTGATTGACAAATTTGTTAAAAACGTGAATTTTTGTAAAATATGTACAGTTAGAACAATTTGTAAACTTTTTTCGAAAATTAAATAAAATTACATTTTTTTCATTTATGTTTCATATTATGTTTGTTTCTATTTTTTTTTTTAACTATTTACATTTTTGAAGAAATAATATAATTAGCATATAATAACAATTACAGATGATACTTTATTTCAATACTTTTATTCTTTATATTGCAAATAATATTACAAATAGGATGAATAAAAATAGGTACTTTATGCTTTATCAGTATCTTCTATTGCCAAGATCTTTGCTGTTATAGGTTCCAAATCTTTTATACCATCTTTAGATACCTTTTGTACCTTAAAATTTGGAAGATTAACTATCAATCTTTTGTGTATTTCTCTAACACACTTTTTCATTAATATATATGCTTCCTCCTCTGTTGAATCTGTAGTATAGAACAGTGTGATATATTTTAATAAAAAATATTAATAAATGTTAACATAAAATTAATCTCTCTGTATTTTATTACCATATTTGTGATATCTGTCCAAAATGGAAAGAGAGAAGAAACCTCCATAACCATGTGCTGCATAAGGCACTCTAACACAAGATGCTAGATAATCAATGAAGTATAATTCTGGTCCAGTATTATCATCATAACCAGCTATTAGTAAATTGACAAAGTATGGTGTTTTACTTCTAAGGTAATCTGCTAGATTTCTTCTTGTAAAAAAGGCAGCTGCCTTTGGAGACAATTCATAGCCATTTCTCATTTTATAAAGCTGTATATTCTTTCCTATATATTCTGAAAATTGTGTAGTATCTCCAGATTCTCCAGAGACTGCCATAATAAGTTTATCAGACATTTTATGAATTTTCTCTTCATCTGAAATAAGTACAAAGAAATGCATTCATTATGTAGATATTTTATAATTATTCCATACACATAAGTAATTTTGTAATAATGTTGACTGAACAAAAGCAACAATGAAATAAACAATTTGTTTCACTGTTTTTAGGTTGTAATCAAAGCGTACAATTTCTTACCGTTTTTCATAACCATAATAGATTGAGCCGTAGTCATATCAGCCGCAACTAGTACGAAATCTTTAAATTGTATTCCGATTAAACATTCCATTGTCTCAAACAATTATTTTAACTATTTTAATTGAAATCGTAACACCACCATACAGCACACAAAATTGCTTGTCACGAATTGTAAGGTTAGAATCGCGACTAACGCCATCAATGTTTTACATGTTCAATGGCGCATATTCCTGAAATTTGCACATAATTATTTTGCAGTTTTTTTTTTCGAAAATCAATGGTCACTGTAAAGAAAATACTTTACAAAAAGTTAAATAATTTTTCCTATCTTAAGTGACAAGAATTAATTAGAATCAGAATTGAATACAAATCTATGATGTGTGTGCGCCATGCAAGAAAAGGGAGGCAGCATACAAATCGGTTATCCCGCTATTCTGCCACTTTGTGTGTCAAGTAGCTGTAATAGATATTCTAATTGGTGTAGATATCCATTTAATAAACTCATTGATGCTTTGGAACTAATTACTTTTGTTTTAATTAACTTTACTTGTACTACCATGTGCGGTAAAAGTTGCGAATAGAATAAATATGAAACTTCAAGAAGAATTGTAGTTAAATCGATGTTCAATATTCAATATTCAATGTTCGATATTCTCGAATTTATCGTGGTATAACGCGATAATCGTAGCGAGGTAAACGGTTACGAAGGAAATAGGCGGAGGAAGAGGCGAACAGAAACGACTGGTTCACGCTCGCTGGTATGCCATTGCATTTCTGTGTCAGTGGTAAAGGTCTAATAGCGGACTCGATCTCCTATTCTTTTCAGTCTTATTATAGATGCCGGAACATCGATAATTTCTCGTAGATCGTTCGCGAGAGACGAACATAGGGTAGGGCCATTTCCAGAGAGCCAACACTTAGCCTAGAAACTTGTTAAACGAACGAAACCTCTTTGCACCGAAGCATAGCATATATACTTGTTACCAATTCCCGTTCCTTCAGATTTTAAATTCGCTAACGAACGCTCAAACATTTCCCGTTACTAGAAACATCGCATTCTTTCGTCGGGCTTCGGTTCATTGAAAAACATGCACCTTCTTTATACAGGTATTTTCATTATGGGCGGAATCTGCCTTATCGATAGATTTTGCAAAATGAACTTCAAAGGTAGACGTTTGAAGCGATAAAATCATTAACCCGTTAATTGGTTAAGACGATTTAAGTTGTCATTGATTAGTCAATACTTAGAATATAATAATTTATTTATTGAGGAATTATTCATTTTTAATTGTATTGTTATGCCTGCATTGAAGATAAAATACATCATATTCACATTTGTAAGAACGAAAAGGAAGTAATTGGTTATAATTCTTATTCCTTTTTAATTATATATAAACTAGAGAAACTCAATTTCTGTTTGAAAGGTGAACTCAGTTAATAAGTTTATAAACATATTAGAAAAATGTTGTAAGAAAAGTAATAACGAGTTACGGTAATTATAAAATATAAACTTTATACTGTTTTCATTTATTTAACCAATCTTCTTAGTCAATATTCTTTCTTAATTTTGCTTTTTATCCACAAAATTCACCGGAAATGCGTTTAGATATTCGACGGAAGATGCTTCTTCCATCCATTTCCAGAAGCAGGAAGGGTGAAAGGGACTGGATACTGCAGATAGATCGACGGCAAAATTGGTTCGCTTCGGCCCGTTGAAGGTCGTTCGTCTGTTCCGTTACGTTACTATTTATCTATGACGCGTGATACGTCCAAGTATGGTTTGAAGACGCTTTATATGCAAGTAAGTATAATTATCTTAATGCCAGAATGCATTATTGATTTATCCCAAGATTGAGATTTGCACAATGCACTTGAAATCTTTGTTTAATGATGATTGAAGATGGAAGCGAGGATTCTTTAGACAGAACCGAAGCGTACGTTCACCGGAGGTTCGATATACGTTCCTTATGGAGTGCAGGTCGCTTCTGTACACGGTGATTAGCGAGATCCTCCTAATAAGAAGACACAACGCCAGCATCCCGCTACTGAAACAGTTATGATGAATCGCGATCGCCTAGTCCAGGGTGCACGCAACGCGAAATGGGCTTTCAAGAAGAAAAGGAAAGCCTGCGGCCGTGGACGATAAATGACTTGATCTATCGATGCACCATCCTTTTGGTCGAACACATTTCTAGGATATCGATTCGCTCGAACAGGATATTTTCAATCTGATTAGCGACTTTAGTAGGTTATAATGGAGTTCGGAGTTCTCTTTTAGGTTAAACCTCTCTCAAAAACTTTTTGATGTTTTTCGAGAAGATATATTTCGAGGAATTTTTAAAGATATTTACAACGAATACTATATTTTCTGTATAAATGTTAGACACCTGTTCTGTAACTGATACGCCTTAGTAGTATCAAAGTAATCCAAGACGACAAGAATTCTCGCAAGAACGTTTCTGTAAGTGGGTAAAAACATTTACCCCGACCAGTATTATCGATGATTACAGAAATTTGTACAAGTTCAAAGAATTTGCGTTTCTAGGTAAATGTTTGTACTTTAGGACAGCGATTTTTAATCTTTTTTATCTCACGGTACACATAAACTAATTACTAAACTTCTGCACACCACGAAATATATTATATTCTTTTGCCGATCTGACAGAACAGTGTACATTTTTGACTGCTTTGCAAATAAATATTTTTTTACTTTTTTAAGTTGTATTAGAAAATCTTGGACGCTTGTGGGCCTTTCGCGGCACACAGGTTGAAAATCATTTTAAAAAACTCCCTATTTAAGCTTTGACCTCTTGAAGAAGTTGAAAATATTCGAAATTAATGTGTGCAGCAGTGTCATATTTCCAAATAATCTAGTATGTATTTAACTTTATATATAATGATTCGAAGAATTATTAGCTACGCCAATCTTCTTTTTCACGAGTCCATGAAAAATATCCATCTTCTTGACTAGAAAATAAAAGACGAAAAGCGAAGAAGCCTCGTGACCGTCCGCTTCCCTGGAGTCTATTTTGTACGAGAGAATTCGATCGAAATAAAAGGCTCGATGGAACGTTGTGGAACCGTAAAATCTCTTCGAAAAGTATTCGAAAAGTAGACCTTCGGGATTGACGGCGAGTCAAGTGACAAGGGATTGGTCAGTTCCACTGAAAATAGTTCTAAAGGTGTGTGATTATTGGCCGTACGGCCTACCCCCACGTGAGTGCGCAAGCTATATAGAAGACCTCGCGTGGAATTTCATCTTCAGAGCTGAGAGTCAGTGTCAAGGAAGTTCATCTGGAAGTAACGAAGTGAGTAGAGTACGGTTCGCTTAGTATATTGACACTCGTGCACATTAGATAATTCCACCCCTCGCATTTCTTTATCAAACTATTGACAGTTCACTTTCAATTGTGGCCCTCCTCGAGCATGTAAATATGTACGATTTTCTTAATTATCACAGACAATTTTGCTTTCGTATTTTGCATAATTTGGAGTTAAGACAATCGAAATTCGAAAAGAAGAAATTTATCCGAGGTAGATTTTACAAAATTTTAAGAATGATTCATAACGTTATTTTTCCAACCGCGAGAAAATACCTAACTGCAAGGAGCAGTGTCGATGATGTCTGTGAGTCGAGGAATAGGCTCGAAACAGGTAGAAAATGCCCTTTAGAGGTGACGGGTACAGTTAGAAATCGTTGGCGATTTTTCCGGCGCGACAGGTACTGTTTTCGAGAGGCGTGACACGTTTCGTACAACATGTTCCTTTCACGTTCCTCGTTTGAATTCTTCCATTTTAAAGGAAATGATAATTCTATACATTCCACGTTGACAAATTGAAACAATTTTTTCTTTAAATTACACATTATAAATTCCTCTATATTAGGTGTCTTTTAAAAACTTTCTTTCCTCACAATTAATTATTCAATTTTTCTTCGTTTTATGGGAGTCTTTGAATTCTTTTTCTTTCTTACTAGAAGTTTATCTTCTCTTCGACGCATGTGTCCTTTTTCTTTCTCACTTCGCTTAGCTGATCGGTGCAACGGAGAACGACAGTAGGTCGCGACCGCATTTTCAGGTAACGGTACCTGCCGGGTTCAACAAACCGGTAGCTCCGATCGAGAAGTGGGCTACTTGGTGCTGGCAGGGTGACCTTAACCGTTCTGACACACTTTTCCTGCCTCTCGACGTCGTTCCTCCGGTTCACGCGCCGTCCCGCGTCACCTTTATTCGTCCCGTGTAGGTATACACGCACGATCACTTCTTTCTTACGCCTCGAATTCAAGACCAAGGTCAACGATACCAAACGACTCAGGTGAATTCGACCTTCCATCGTGTTTACGGAATCGTTTCTTCTCTTCCACCTACTCAAAGACACATACACTCGTCCATTTGTTCTTTTTTTCACAGTTATTTCACGAAGGAAATTTCTTCTTTTTATCAATTCGTATTTCTTTGCTAAAATTCATTTATGTTTGATATATTAGTATTTCGAATTTTTCAATGGAAAATTAATTAATCTCTCGTTACAAAAATTGATTTACATTTGATTCGAAAAATTGGAAGAAGCCATTAACCATGAATTACGGTTGTTTGAAAAGGAGGAAAAGATTAGAGGATAAATTTAGAAAAGGCTAAGATGTAGAACGGAAGCTGCGAAATATTGAGAGCATGACTGGATCCTCGATTTTCTCCCGGATCCTTCTCCCCTTGAATTCGGTCGTTTACTCTTCTTTCTCTTTTGAGTCACTCGAAGATACCGGAAAGAGAGAGCTGCGTCAGCTTCTTCGTATATATTCGTAATCGAGAGCTCCTCTTCCATCTAATAATCGAATCGTTTTCCCTTTTGATAATGAAGAGTCTGTTCATTTCCTTTGCAGAATGCAATACAATCAATACGTGTCGCTATGCTTGGTGGCGCTTGTCCTGGGACAAGCAGCAGCTCTGCCACAGCATCAATATCCGCAACAGTTCCAACAACAGGTCAGAGATGAGAGGAAATTTTCTGAGAAACCAAATGCTATGAAGAAGGTCGCTCTTGATGATCTAGACGACATCAGCACCAATCAGATTCAGGTAAACCACCATCAAATCTTCTTTTAATGCTTGTATTCTATTCACCTTCCCTATTCTTTCTTCACTTCAACTATTAACAGTTTTCAAATTATAAGTACACGTTGTCTCGTCTGATATACACGTATAGGCTACCTAAGTATCTCCTTCAGTTGTAATGATACAAAAAATATTTCATATGCAATTTGAATGAGTCACTTAAAATTTATTGGGTGTTGTATTGAACCATTGCTTTTATACTCCATCAGGAAGGTGGCAGTACTGGATTCTCTTGGTCGAACATGCTCAGTATGCTGATGCAGATGCTACTTGGTCAAACAGGCGGTGTTACTGGGCCAAGCAAGAATGAAATTGACGATGGAGCACCAGCCAGTCCCTGGGCAAATTTGCTCTCGGTTGGCCTCAGAGTGCTTACAGCCCTCTTAGGAGGACCTCAACAACCTGTCGATGGCATTGATAAAGTTGACAATCAGAGCAGCCCCATGCAGGTACGCCTTGCAACACCTTGGACACTACATTACTATGTCGCCACAGTTACGGTCATTTCTGCTTCGGTGAAACGAAGAATCGATTTCTACAAATTAACATGACGAGTCGAGTATCTCATTTTCAGACGATTTCTTGGCACACAGATTTAGAAAGCAATTGACGGTTACTTGAAACGGTTATTCGAAACAGGAACAACGAGTTTCCGCGACTTTCATCACGATTCGGGTCGCGTAACGAAAGCACAAGCCGAACTGACTGTACTGTGAGGACCTATGTGGGTCAAACGCATCGTGGACTCGATTGAATTATTTCATGGTAACAGCTATTCAATTTAAATATCAATATTTTGCATTTTATATATTTTTGATACGAATACCGTTCTTAATTGATATTTTAAGGGACTTAGACATACAGTTGCAAATAGTTTCACTTGAAGAATAGAAAAATATTTTTTATTTACCATGGAATTATTCCATATATCTACCCTTGTGGTATTATGTAGACCCTCCATAAACACATACACGACACGCTGTACATTTGATTAGCTATTTAGAATTAGTAGCACATCTATCTATGCAGTAGACTGTACATCGCTGAGCATGAATTATATTTTTTATTATAATATTTACATCTATCTTAAGAAGTATTCGTTTAGAATCCGCGAAGAGGAGACTTTATAGAAAATAATAATTGTGTCGTTAGTACACGCATTGTAAAATAATTGTCGCTTATCTTCGTTTCTACACGTTTTGTATACACGACCTTCTTCCAAAGTGAAATCACAACGGTGTACGACTTGTTTCTCGACACGAGCTGTTGCTTCCGTTAACGAGGTCCACTGTCTTCTTCGAGAGCAATTAAGGGAACTGTGGACACGTTAACGATCTTCACGTTTTCTAAACGATTTAATGCCACGGCAGAATTTTATTCTCTTCCGTTCAGTGAAAAAATTCTAAATCGTACACGTTGCTGTGATTCTCGCGCAAAGAAATTTGCGCGTTTGTTGCTTGGGGCAACGTTACAGCCTCCACTCCTCTTGTAAATAATCATCAGAGAATGTGAACTTAGAGCACATGGCTGGTGTCGGTTGTTTAGGGAATTTTGACTGCGGTGCTGGGCGCGTTTCTAGGACAGGGCAGAGACCCCGATCAGGTTGCTGTCATGGCTAAAAACGCTTCTGAGGTTAGTACGTAATCGAACAGAATTGTACACGAAACTGATATCACTCTTACTGCTCGACGTTTCGACAAATTAATCTCTATAAGACGTTTTTAAATATCTTAAAATTCAAGATGCTCATTTAATGGAACTTTACCATTACACGTGAATCAATTTCATTGAAGTTTACAATAAAAAGGTTGACGAAACGTTGACAGGTGAAATGATAAAATATAAATACGCTTTCCACGTGTAGAATGCTTCTATTCTGTTGCACTACTGATCTCTAAGAACAGCATTAAATCACATTCACTAATTACTATTTTTTTTAAATAGTTCATTAGCATAGTAATCAACCTTCTGGACGCGTTGAAGACATCATTCTCCCATCGTTCTTTGACAGCCAGGTCCATGGGAAGAAGAGACACGGTTTCTGAGGCTGCTGTTGCTTCCATCTCCATGCTCAAGGTATCTTAATCTCTATAATTAAAACTTTTTAAATCTGCCTCTCTCCTATTTATATCTAAACGAATGGTATTATCACCTTAGGGCTACATGAGGTCCGTGAAATCATTCAATAACGTTGGACGCGCTGAGGACGAGGGTCAAAGGGGCTGTGCTGAGAGAGCTCTCTGTGAGGCTAGCGCTGAGTGTGTTGCAGATGCTCAAGGGACGTCGTCCATCTTTTGTCAACTTGGATCGTGAGTATATTCATCTAAGATTACAATTCACTATATTTATTCACTGTTTAGATATTTCTAAATAAAGTTTTATGACTTTTCTAAGGTATGCGACGAGCTACCTGCTACAGAGGCAGAGCGGAGTAGGTTTTGAGGCGCTATACGAAGCAGGAAGACGCGGTCGTACTGGAGAGGACTGCAGAACCCTCTTTATGGACTGCAATGCTGTATGAGAGTCCCTTTCCATCCGTTGAAGTACGATTTAGACGGCCCAGACTCGATAAACACCGGTCAACATTATCATTTCGAACATCTTCAAGCTAAACATCGACGCGGTATTCCACTTGAAATTCAACTACGAATTTATCCACCGAGTTGTTTGCGTCCTGACGTTTAGATCGCACCTGGAAACGGCAGAAAAGTAGCATTAAACGCGACATGGGAGAATTTTATGCGAGAATCGTGTCGAGACCAAACCAGAGTGGTGATCTTCTTCTCGAGGGTCTTCATCGACGAACTTGATCCAAGGACTGAATTGAGCATCTTCTGGAATCGAAGAAAAATTTCTATTTCAATTCTAAATGTACTAAATAATCGTCTGATTTCATTGACCAATTAATAAGCGTAATATGTTCATCGCTGGTAAATTGTACGATTTAATTAATTGGTCGTTAATTGCATATTGTTTGAGATTGACTGAACTTTTTGTGTCCACGGGGATCATGAAATTAGTCCCCGTGAACGCTGAAAGTTGATCCACGAGAAAAGAGTTCGCGATGGAGAGGAACAGGCGTGAGAAGAGGCCGTGCATGCGAATAGGAGAGACACACTTGAACGTAGAGGTAGACTGAACCAGATTCTACAGCCTGGACGAGCTGTTCACCGCTCGTACGGGTCTCCACGAATACCACGATATTTATTTCTATTTATTGAACGTAGTGAACGTAGAGGTAACGCGTAGTCGGGACTGGATGTGCTACGACGCGAAGGGAGGACCAACTTTTCATCGCGAAATCATCTTTTAACTGTGTAATATTCGTAATTTCAATTATCTCGATACTAATCTCCATAAATCGTTCAACTGGCGTTTTCTTTTCGTCGGCAGCAACGATTTTAGTCATTCATTCATATTTAACCCTTAGATTCTTC